AGCTTTTTAGGGGTTCCCTGCCTTTTACTAAAATTTGATTTTATAGTTTCTAACAGAGAGGCAAAAGCCAAGACCAGGTATTAACGCTATTAATAGAGCTTCAATTTTGGAATCAAGTGTGCTCATGTTTCTTAACACCAACCATTTGTTTTTTGGTCGAATCATACTTTTAAGATTGAAACTCCTCCAACCATTTAGGACAAAATTTGCGTTTCTTTACCTGGGTATCATCCCCCAGCTCTGTATCACTTCCAGGTTTCCCCTTTCGAATATCGAATATATTGAATAAGCCCTTCTGAGTAGACATGCTCTTGACCATGACAAAATGGCGGGTCAAAGGACATGCCAAGATGATCACAGTAATTCTTGGGTAGAGCCCACCAGACCCAGTCTCCTAACTAGTCGGAACCTTTTTCCTGCGTCCCAAGGACGCACATTGGCAAAAACTGTGCTTCCTTTTCATTTTTTGTACGTATGAGACGCACACCTGTGCGTTAATGGGAACTCTGTTAATTTACATACACTAATTTGTATACTTTTCTCTTTTTCTTTTTCTAGTGCACTAACAGTGGAAGGAGAAACTGGTCTGTTTTCTGGAGTTCATCTGAGGCATGCAAGTTTAGAGAGAAATAAAAGATGTCTCTTATCCTACCTGTAAGATTAATTAAGTTCATTAACCTTTTAACTCTAATGATCTGATTGCTAAGTCTCCCCTGTAGCTGCTACACATTTTATTTTGTATTAGTTTTAAAGAATTTGGTGTTAGATCAAGATAACAACTCAGGGCTGTGATCAAGCAGCACCCAGTGGTCCCTGGTTCCTTACTTTTGTTCCTGGGCGACTCAGAAATCTTAGTTTTTTTTCATGAAAAGCATATGCTGGGCACCCTGGATTTCACAGTTTCAGAGCACTGGGCTCTCTTCAATTTTTCTTACAGCACAGCTTTGCAACATCTACATAAGTTTGAGTATTCTCGTTACTTGTTTGCTGGATAATGTATAGATGCTTTACCAAGAAGTTACTGCTTAATCATTTCTGGGAATTAAAGGATTGAGTGTTATGTGGGATTGTTTTATTTTTCTTGGGGAAAATCCAGGAGTAAATTTGAGGGCATTGTGAGATCCATACCATAACTTGATGGTTATGAGAAAGAGATCTAACCATTACTTTGTACATTTTAGTTTATGAGTTCCTATAAGAAGCATATTGATTTCTGAGAACCTTAAAAACAACATTATTATGATAATGTGATCAAGATTCATTCAATGCATGCAAAAGCTTCCACTGATTTTTTTTTCTTTTTTTTTTCTTTTGTACACTGTATACTTCTTTGTTCAATTTTTCAGCTATAATAGGATGTTAAGGATGAAGGACCTAAGGTGGGAGTTTGGAACTGTTTTACCCGAAGACATAAAATATAACTTATGTGAACAAGAGGTTGGTAAACTTGGTATGATTCACAATTAATATAAATAAGACATACTGTTGGGGTTCCCGTGCCCCTTGAAAGTCCTTGAATTTCATTTTTTGTTTCAAGGATTTGAAAACCCTTGAAATTACACTCAGGTCCTAGAAAATTTCTGAAAAGTCCTTGAAATTAAGTGCAGATGAATCATAGTTGAAGTTTGCATTTGTTTTTTGGTGTTGAAAGTGTAAGTTTCGAGCATAAATCAAGAAAACAAGTTTTCCTTTTCAAATCCAGCATCCGATAATGATGTTTGACACATGATTGGTGCATTGAAAATAACCTTGGGTATCTAGCATGCGAACACTCTCATGTGCGTTCTTGAAGTTACACTCGTTGGACTTTTCAGCCGGTCCTGCACACATGTTCACGTTATTGAAATTTAACAATAAAGAGCAATGTTTTTTATTTCTTTTAGCTTCAATTTAATGCAAAATGTTCTTGAATTTGAGAGCCAAGGTCCTTGAAAATGACCCAAAAAGTCCTTAAAAGTCCTTGAATTGGGTTCCTGAAAAAGTACAAGAACCCTGTACTATGAAAACTCTGATTAGTCAAGAGTATACAATCAATGTACAATAGCTTGTGAAGTTGACATGGTAACCCAATATCTGTAGCAGATATTGGGTTATCATGTCCATGTAGTGTTCTCAAACTTTTGCAAAATCAGAAAGAAGTTTTTTTTTTTTTTGCAGATATTTTTAAGAAATGTATAATAAAAGAATTATTGTAAGAAATATACAACTTTTTTTAGAGACATGTTTCGGCATGCTTATGCCATCTTCAATCAATGAGTAACTGAACGTGAGTAATTATATAACAGACAAGTAGAGGAATAATATTTACAGTAGGACGTGATACAAAAGGGGGTACTAATTACAGTGTGACAACAAACATGAAATTAAAATTAACTGAATTCAGTTTTTGTGGGATATCATGAATAATCAAACATTGTGTCTGTATTATCTGCCTCAGCCTTCAACTTCCACCATACCTAGGCATTGATAATTCATGATATCGAGCTCAACCTCATCCAATGATTGTTTAGACAAAGCTATTGATGTTATATTTATTTCCGGTTAATTTTTTGTAGTTGGCCAACTTTTTTAAGCACTTTAGCAATATACAATCTGGAAAATAATTATTGATACTCCTGATAAAAATATTTACTCAGGGAGGAATTGGTGTTCCTCTTCCTATGTTTTTCAACTAATTGGATGGCTTCAAATATTTCTTTATACATAGGTTCAGTGGTTTACAAAGTACAATAAATCACTGGCAACATACATGAGGACAGTTGGTTTGGACCTTACACAGGTAACAAGATGCTCATTCCTATGTAAAACAACTAGATTTTCGTTGTCATCTTTATTATTATTGATTTGAATGCAAAGAAGGCTAAAGAGAAGAGAGTCAAGGGTGATAACATTTAGGCAAATTATTATGCAAAGTACACAGTGCCTCTCTCCACCCAGGAGTGTAGATGGGTATCAGCAAGTTTTCAGGAAAGCACGACTTAATGCCGGGATGTAGCTTTGCGATAAACTGGCATCTCATCCAGGGGGGATAGTAGCACTCCTTGTTGCTTCATGCCATAGAAACCTGGATAAGCTTGGGCTGGATGGGTCACTTGGCTTGAGTACAGACTTTGCCACCTAGTCATGTCTGTGAAAGATAAGATTTCTAAAGGGTAGATGAAGATCCTTGAAGGTCTTAATGGAGGAACAACACTTGGCCCTCAGAGTTCTATCCTAACACATGTGTGGATCTTCTGAGATCAGTGTAAGATTTTTGTGAACGCTGACAAATGCATCTCATTGTAAATTCTTATTGACAGGACATGAAGCCACCAAAGTCACTTTACATAGAGGTATGTCTTATAGTTGTCCCATGTTAAACCATTTCTGATGACTGGAGCCTCTTGAAAAAAATATATATATATATTCTGAATTCTGCAATGCAGGTGCGATGTCTGGAAGATTATGGAGAGTTTGAAACAGAAGATGGAACAGTCTTGTTATTGAAAAAGAATAGTCAGGTCAGAACAGTTACTCCAGATGAGGATTATTAAATTGTTCACTTCTTCTTTGGGTGGCAATCTCGTTTTAAACTTGGGTGTATTGTACAAAGTATACAGTGCTGTAAGCTGCACTTGTTTCCTCCCCCCACCACACCCTTCCAAATTGAAACGAATGGGTGTTTAGTTTAGGAAGGGCTTTTCAATCTTTCAGAATAATAGGCTGATGCAATCATTTCTTGTAAAAGAACATAAGTCCGTATCCAACAACGTAAGATTTGCATTGATGTTCCAAGCAGTTTTGCAAGTTTAAGTCGAGGCCAACTTTGTACTCATTGTCATTTTGCTGTCCTGAAATGTTTACAAAGTGAATAAAGTACGGTATAAATATGCATTTTTGTCTAATACTGCTGTCATTTCTCTGTAAAATGGGAGGAGTGAAGAAGGCAGTTATTGGAGTTGGGTACTTATTAATTTTGAGTGTTGAGGGGGAAGAGGGACGGAATGCGTTGAACCAAGAGATGGTGACTGAGCAACAGTCATAAAATTATGCCCCTTGTTGGAAAACTATCTCATTTTAGATTGCAATTGTTTCAGAATTGCTTGATTCACATTCTTTTATCAACTCATAGAGCATTTTCTCCTTCCTTTAGCATTTCCTGCCAAGATCTCACTGTGAACATCTCATCAGACAAGGAATCCTTGAGCATATTCTGTAGAGCAGCAGAGTGAATGGTCCAATATTCACCAACAAAATTTGTATTCTGTCAGCAAGAAAATACAAACTCTGACAAGTTTTTATCCTTAGTCAGAAATATGTGCCATATTGCAGCTATTTAGGAGCTGTTTCAATTTGTTTATAGTACTGCTGAATTAAATATAGGTGAATGGAAATAATTGGAAATAAAGACTATTTTTAACAGTTTTTTAACTTGACTGACACTTGACTTCTTTTTTAACAAGTGGCCACCTATTTATCCTTCCACTTTTGTCTTTATTACGGGATTTTTATCAGATTATAGATATATATATATATATATATATATATGTATTTTCTTTTTATTATGTACTAAGAGCCCATCAGGAAAAATATTTGAAAGAATACTACAAAATGACAAAATATCAGCATCAAAATGTTGCAGGCAGCTTTAAACATTTTATATCGGACCAAAACGTAACAGTGTGTCATTGATTTTTTAGCGAAAAAAAGACTTTCTGTGGTACTTCTGTGCAATGAATTAAAAAAAGAAAAAAAAAACGTTATCCGATCAGACCTTTTATCCATATGCAGCAAATGTGCCGGTCATGTTTTAGCAAAGAATGGCTTTGAATGATACTTGTGGTCAATACATCAAAAAAAAATAATAATAAATGAACGGTGATCTGATCAGACCCAGTATCCAAACGCAGAAATGTGTCAGTGATGTTTCAACAAAGACTCACCTAGCGTGGTACTTGTGGTCAATAAATTTGAAAAAAGAATTGATGATCGGCCAATATTTGGTGCATTTGCGTTCAAGGAGTGAGTTAGTTGCGGTAAGCTAAAAACCGTGATTATAGGTAGTCGGAAAGAAAACTTTTAATCCCAAGAGAAAAGGTCTCTTTTCCCCTTCCATATCCCGTTCTCGAAGTCTCTCTCTGTTGGTTCTTTTTTTCCGCAATTGTAAATGTATGCGAGCAATTTTCTTCCAGTAAAACTTAGCGAAAAATATAGCGATGACGGAGCCCGTGTAAACAACACCGACTTGCGTGACCAAATATCTGACTTCGTAACACTAGCGTCTCAACGTGACAAAGCGTGTTTGATATTCGTCACAGATCAGTTGCAAGATCGTTCCAGCGGATCACATACAAAAGCTTTGCCCAATAGAAGTATTCATTTCCGGGATTGTATCGCACGTAGTCGCAACTACGATTAAGAACTTGTCGCGATGGTTAATCGCTTAGCGTTTTCTCTCTCTTTTGCACTTCTGTACAGTGTAGCTGAGATTTCTTTCAAAGTTGGCGGTTTTCCAGCACCGTTCAGCAAAGTTTTATCTCTGGAGAACCCGCCTATGGAAGGTAATCGTGCAAGTACTGATAATTTAGGACAACTTTTTAAGAAACGAATTCGGCCGAATGAATAGACGGGACCTATTCATCGCGACATTTTCCTCACGGTGGCACAAATACAGGGTGAAACCTGCCTTTCGAATGCTTTTAGCATTAGAGTCATATTGATAAAGTGTGCTGGCTTAAGTTCAGTTCTTATAGAGAGGGATCGATGCTATATTTTCAGCGATTTCTTCTTGTCATTTTTTTAATGATAACAAAGGTACTTGGAAACCCAAACTTAATTTGCATAACTTAGCCAAGAGGTCCTATATTCCCCCGTTAAATCGGGTAGAAACTCAAGTTTGCTCATCTTCTTGTTATGTGAGAGTTTCAAAGTCCTTCCTATTCCTTCGAACAAATTTAACTGCTCGAAATCTGACTCCATATTTTTTTACACGACGTTCTTCTGTGTCTAATATTGTGAGGACACTTCTTTATCAAACTTTGCACGGAGTACAAAATGACCACAAATCATTCACTTTTGAGTTAGTTGAGGAATTATTTTTGATGAAGGATTTTTCCAAACTCGAAAATGTGAAAATGCGAGTTAAAAAAGCCTATTTTTGTCGTTGTTTTGTTTCGAACTTAACTGGGCACATAACCTGTCGCATTCGTTATCTAAATTGACGCATTACTAATTAAGTGTTTCGATAGTACGTCTAAACATTTTTCATCCATTTATGGAAGGGAAAAATCATACCCAAAATCATAACCCAAACCTTCTAAGTAGCCCCACTCCTTCGGACTGGGAAATGTCAGACAGAAAAGTAGGAGATGTTAAAGCTAACAAGACGGCACAAAAGCTTACAACAACATGTGCAACCTTCCGTGAAGGTTTTCCAGTTGCTTCTTAACAACTGCTACCCACCCCCCCCCCTTAAATTTTGATGCTCTGCAGGGATGATACCAACTGGTCGACATGCCTTTGCTCAGAATTTTTTTTTTAACTTAAAACAGGTAAAGATGTTGTAATCCTACAAAATCTACTGCTGAGATCACCATTTGTGAGGCCCATTGAAAAAAGTGGTGTGTACGATAGGGAAACCAGTGAGGCTGTAGCCAGCTACCAAAAGGGAAATGGTCTGCCAAGGTATAGCTCAACATAACAATGAAGAATCATGACACATTTGTGGACAATTAGATGAGCTTGACTTTTTGTTAAGTGATAATATATAACATTTGCATTCCATACTCATCGTCCCGTGAACCAGCTTTTTCTTATAACCAAGTGGGAGAGGTATGTGCGAAGCTGAACTCAATCAGGTTTGGGGCATATGCTAACAGAAAAAAGTGTTACACAAAGGGAGGGGGTAGGGAAGGTTTAAAAAGCAGCCTTTCTTTCATTTTCACACCAGACCCTGCCATCTTTCATTTGGAGTGCTCAGTTTTACCCAATGCTTTTTTGTACAATTCCAGTTGGCCTAAAAGAAACCAGAAAGACCAGTGCACAGGTCACTGAAAGAACATAATTTATTTTATGATCTGTTTGGCCCTGTGCATGCAATCCCTTAAAAAACCATAGTGGAAGCCAATGTGTGTAGGGTTGACAGGAATGGGTCTGAAAAAATACCTGCACTCACAAGGCTTTGTTGCAAAATCTTAAACCTGACTTTTGACTTCTGACCCAAAGTTTCATAGCTTTGTAATCTGCAAGTCTTGAACGTAAGAGGTTATGTATGATAAAACTTACAGGTGTCTGAATGTTAAAATTTGCCTTTATTTCAGCAATGGAATATTCAATACAACAACAGCCTCTCTTGTTCTCAAGCAACTGATGTATGATGGATATAAAGATGATCACACTGTCCCTTCCGGGTATAAATTTAAGGTAAACAGTAGAATAAAAAATCTCTCTGTCACATAAGGGGAAAATAAGTGTGCTCGTTAAGTCCAAATGACTTGTTATGAAATGGTGATCTGAAAACCATCTATAATTGACCTGCTGATAAAGAATTACTAGAGCTTCATGTCCATACTGATTTTTTAATCAATATTTGCAGGTGCATATTCCTGTGTACAAAGATCGGACGATTGAAACAATTGGCACACTTTATGACTCAAATAACAAGGTAGTATATTAAATGAACAAATTCTTAATTTTTTAACATTTAATAGCTTTTTTGTGACTAAGAATAGGATAATAGTTATTAAAATTGTTTTTTAATTTCCTGTTTTGCACATTGAAATTGTGGAGTGTCATGCATGACACATACCACAAATAGGAGACAAACAGAGAGTGAGGATAAATCAATTTTGAACCAATTAATGTGAAATTCTGCAAATTAAATAAAAATAATTTTTTTCCAAAACACAGGTCATGCATACATTCCGTGCACGTTGCCATGGTGCCATGGATGCCACTGGCAAAGAAATAAATCAGCTTACAATAGATGGAAACACTCCAACTGGACTTGTGGTACAAATTCCTTATTGAAATTTTCAATATTTTTTAACCTTATTGTAGTATTGCAATACAGTGTCTGATATTTTTTTAACCTTATTGTAGTATTGCAATACAGTGTCTGATATTTTTTTAACCTTATTGTAGTATTGCAATACAGTGTCTGATATTTTTTTTAATTTTTCTCCTTTTTACAATGATAGACATTTGACCTCAACAGTCCTGAGCCAAACCTAAAATCATTTGGCCCGTAAGTACTAAACACTAACTCTCAAGATCTAATTGTTAATTATCCCCTCTAGTTGCTACACATTTCCTTGTAAATTAGTTATGAGAATTTAGTGTTAGATCAAGAAAACAATCTCTACCTTATAACTATGAATATATTCTCATTACCCATTTGCTGGATAACATATGGATATTGTACCTGGAGTTAATCATTTCTGGGAGTGAAAGAGTTTATAAATAGATATATTTTCAAGTAAAAATAAATGGGGGTCTAAATTCAGCTTTGTCAACCATTAGGTTTTCATTTTAAATTCAGGCCTCTTTGCCAGTGTGCTTGTAAAATCGTTTGGTTTACGTAACTACTTGGCACTTCCGTGAACTCATAGTTATATTTTACATATCACCCATGAATCCAACATTTGGATCACAAGTATATAGAAAATGATCACAAACTAAAGAAACTCTTGATTGTTCAACAAATTCTCCTTGTCAGAACCTTAGGAAATGTATAGAGAACAGTTTAGAGAATATGCATACTGATGTAATGTTAAAGGGTTAAAAAATGCTTACAGGTGTGAACTTATTTTTATTAGTCATTATTAAACAAAATAATCGTATTTCCTTTGTGTATAGGTATCCTGTCATACGAGCAGTCAAAGGTCTAAAAGGTAACAAAAACATCTTACAAGACTTTGGGGGGGGGGGCATTAAGGGCCAAAGGGGTCTAACATTCTCCTTCAATTTCATGACCACAAGGTTTTATCACCAGATTATTGTAATCCCATTGTATCTCTGTTTGAAAGCTTGATTTTCCATCCAATTTTGTCACTTAACCTCCCGTATTTTAGTCCTTTTATAATATGTTATTCCAATTGAGAAGTCCCCTCAATGTAATTATACAACTTCAAGCCCTGTCTCCTCTTCTCCCGTATATATCCTGAAAGCTAGCTAGGCTTTGAATCAGCTAAATCCTGGATTCCAAAAGAACTTTCGGGAACCCTCAAAGAATTCATGAATTAGGAAACATTTTCCTCTTCACCATTTTCTCAATATTATAGACATAAACTGTAACTTAGAAATCTCAGGCTTCATTTGTTCATGTCTCATTCAAAGTTGTCACTGATTGAAAAGTTTGATTGAGTCAATGAGCAACCTCATTTTTCATGGCTTGGCCAACAGGAAATGCTGCAATTGGAAAAAACAAAGATGACACCTTTCTAAGTGACTACAGGAGTGGAATTCTATTGCATACAGGAGAGTGGGATCATTGGAATCCATCTGAACCTATGCCTAACAGGTAAAGCAACTTACAACTCTGTTTCACAAAACCCTTTAACTTCCAAGATCTGAATATCAATCCCCCACAGGGTCTTCCCAACATTTCCTATCTTCGAAGCCCAGAGAGTTTGGTTTAAAATCACACCATTCAGAGTTTTATCCTTCTTTCTTCAAATTGTTTGAATTATTTTAATTTGAAAAAATGGTTTCTTCATGCATTTTCCCCAAACCCAGAGAGAGAGGCCAGACTAGCTGATGTAAGCCTTGCAAGTCCAAAAGACATTTAAACCATACTTTCTTTATTTTATCAATGAATTCACCTTTGGATGGATATTTTTGAAAAAGAAAGACTCTTTCAAGCTCCATTTCAAATCTCACTGTCCTTTTTAATTTATTTTTCTATTTCAACAGTCTTGGATGCATACATGTGCACCCAACAGACTTGCATACTATTGATGATATCCTAGTACACAAGCTGGGTGTGGTTGTACACAAAAATCCTTTTGGAGAGAATCCATACCCTTATGTTCCTCAAGGCATTCTCTCTATTGAGCAAATAGACTGACATTTCTGAATGTAACAGTACTATAACATGAATGAATTAGTGCTTTTCAGTCAAGTGCTGTAAAATTAAAACCAAGGTAATAGCAACAGCCAATCAGAGCAAGGTAAATTTCTCAAGGGGCCAATGGGCACTCAAAGTAAACACCTGCCTTAATTGTAGGCGCGCAGATGAGACTAAGTCACAAATTTTGGTTTTGATGCGTCAATAATTTAAATTGGCCTCTGTAAAGAGTTTAAAAGCCTCTAATTGGTGAGGAGAGTGGTACAAACTGTCTCAGCTGGTCAAGGAGTGTAGAACAGAAGAGCAGTTTCAACTCAGTGAAAGTAATCCTCAGTGGATTGCCTTGGTTTTGCAATTGGCCAAAAAAACTCCTTTCCCTCTCTCCATCAATCAGATGCAAAACTACAACCAACCACAACTTGGTCACCCCCATTTTACTGCCCTTTATGCAGTATAGTTGTGTTTACTTCAAGTTTCATTTTCCTTTCTTCTGATTGGTCAATGTGATTAGTTTGGTTTTGTTTACAACATTCAAACAAAAAGAGCTCTAAAGGTAATGCAACCCTAGATACTTTTAACAACTGATTAAAAATTCCTCAAAATCAATCAATTATCACCTGAAGGACAAGAGATACTTCGTTTGTTTGAAATTAATTACAAGAGAGAGATATAAACACAGTAACTACTGAAATTTTTTATCTACTATATGGAGAGATTCCCTAGTTTTTTTTTCATATTTCATTCATTGTGTATAAATTTTGTACATATTTTTTCATTAATAGCCTTGGTTGCATTCATGTACACCCTGACAATTCAAAAACCATTAATTAAATTCTTAAAAATATCGGTGTGATCAAGAGACCAAATACTTTTGGAAAACTGCCACATCCTTACAAGTCCCAGGGACTGCTATCTATCGAATTGATTGTACACCAGTGAGTCTGTGGTATTCAAACAATGGAAGCATCATTTTATTGACCATACCCACTAATACATGAATTACGTTTTTTTTTTTTCTTTCTGAAACCATTTGATAGACAACATTTGTGTCACAGGCAACCCAAGTAAGGTTAGAAATATGTTACACTGCATACCATTTTACAATGACCTTGTCAGGGAATGCAATTGTTGTTTATGTTTAGATTGTATGGGGTTGACTATTGCCCTTTAGTCACAAAATCATTAATCACTATAGCTTAACGAAAAATCATAGCGAAGAAAAATTACATATCATTCGCTTCTAAGGTAAGGCTTCATTATTAGAAAGAGTCCTTTGGGTTCATACCATTTCAAATTATAAATACGTTAGCTACATGTTATGTATTCTAAGTCTTTGTGTAAAAATGTTAAGTGTAATTCCCAAATGCTTTTAATTTTCATAGATCAGTATTTTAGAAAACATTAGATAGACAGAAAACTAATCCCTGTAGAAATCACTATTAAAAAGATTAGAAATATTTCAAGGGATTCTTGATGAGTACATTAAACTGCATCAACTTTTACTCTCTAGTGACAATTTATTAAATAGTATTCGTAACTCTACTAAATCAGAGTCTGTACAAGTTTACAGTAAAGGCAAACTGTAGACTAGTGATTTCTCTTGATTTGCTTGTCCCTTAATCTATTCTGATGCACCTCATTAATAAATTTTTTCTGAACTTTTTCCTAAATTTTTCAAATGTGGTTTTTGTCTGTGGTAAAAATACCTTGAGAATTTGAACCTGACTGATTTCAGGTAACACATGATAGTAATGTATTGCCCAAATTTGGTAATACTTAAATAAGTAGGCACAAATGGTGAAATAAAAACTTGTAAAGATGTTTATATGGTTATCATTGTAAATTTGTTGTGGTGGTTGTAGAGATTGTCGTCACCATCACCAGAATTTGTCACTGAAATCATCATCATTATGCACTTGTAATCATAATCATCTCCACCATTGAAATCTCCAGAGTTAAAAATCCAAATTATTCTCACTTCACTAACTCAAAAAAAAAAAAATTCCAAAACAGACAGGTTTGGTCGGTAGGTATCTATATCATTGATAAGAAAAATATCTTTCTCAAAGTGAAATGTGCAGACATTTTTACTTTACTCTTACCAGTAGTTATTATCACAATTTAAATAATACTTTTCACTCTATTTCAAATTAGGTGGGGGGTCTACCCTGCTATCCCTTTGATCCAGAGTGTTGGAGTTTGGCATTTTTGTGACCTGGCCAAACTGTACTCTCTAAAATGTCATTTCTTGTCTACCTAAAAAATTTTAAAAGCATAGGTCTTGTGGAAATTTAACATCTATGCATACAAGATAAATTGTATCACTAATGTATGCATAGTTGGATCATTTGTTGCATCCTTGTGGTATAAATAGTTGGTCACTTGCACCATGCTACACCTCCCAGCTGTCCATCCACTTGTAGACTGCAGCAGTAGAGTCAGGAAGATGAGCCATAGGGCCAGACATGCCATAGGAGAGTCCTCGGAATAACCAGAAACTGTTAAGAAACAAAATGAAATAATAAGTGATATTTTAGTTTCATCACACACTACAGATTTTCACTTGTAAAGATGGAGGTGACAGTGCAACCATGGCCACTTCTCAAGGTAACAATTCAAAATGTCATCGCAAATGCACTAAGATTCCCTTGCCCCTGCCACATGTAATCCTACAGTCCCAAAGATCTGGCCACCATTGGCCAAAGAGGAATAACACCAAGAAGATCTTACCATAATTTCCCTGGGATCTCACTATGGTCCTGCCAAGATTAACGTGTTATACTTACAAGTCAGATCTCTCCATTGCAATGTGCATTAAAGAGTAAGATCCATTGGAGATTTTAAATAAGGATTCCACAGTCTGTTTGTCCATCACATAAATAATCATTATTTCCTAGTGCATTCAGTTTATTATCAAACAACTTTTTGATCACTTTACTACACAAGTGATTTAGTTTGTAATTGTGACAGACTCAAGGTACCTTCCTGTAACACAAAACTCCTAAGACCTCCCAAGAGTGCCTACTATCTAATATCTCCTTTTATTATCAACTCCAAATCACACATTAAGGCCATAAGAAGAAAGGAAATGGTCGACAACTATAATTATAAGCTCTTGATTGTCACATGAATTCTCCTTGTCAGCACCTTAGGAAATGTACAGAGAACAATATGGAGAATAATTATGCATGCTTATGTTAGTGTTTAATGGATTAAACTACCTGATAATACATCCAGCCAGAAGGAAGCATATAGTACTGTAGTAAACCATCTCTTTAATCCTGTCAAGCTTGGGAAGCAAGGCTACTGATTTGCACATATACTGGCTCACTATACCTGGAAATCAAACAATAAACTTACTTATACTAAATATAAAATACTGGAGAAAATTACCAGTAACCGAAGAGAATGGATCTTCACAGTGTCTTCACTCCCAGGGAGTTTTTAAGCCAGCAAAAAGGCTATTGTTGGTGCAACCAGCACAAGCAGTTTCACCCCTGAGATAGTTCAAGTTGCCAAGCAAATCAAGCCACTAATAGGTTTACAAGGGGTCTTGTTAGGGCTAGGTCAAAATCAATCTGTCAATCTGTGTATACTGTATTTCCTTGAGTATATAAGCACCTAAGTGCTTATTTAAAATGTCCGTTCAACAGGGAGGGGCAGGGGTTATTTGAAGGAGGGACTTAACACCTTTTACTTTTGACAAACTATACCTTAATTTTGGCTAAATTTAAAAAAAAAAAAAACTTTTGTATTATCCACATAGACTTAAAGTCAATATAATAATTAACATTTTCTGTCTGTTTAAGAAAAAGGGGAAAGACTTGCTTGCTTATAAAATAAAAAGATGACACGGAAGGTTAGAGAAAAGTCTAATGCCTGGCAAGGTAAGGCATTTACCAAGAGGGCACCAATAAGACAAAAATTAAAGGAACAGAATAATGTACACAGAGGAACTCTGCAAGCACAAGGAGATTGATTTAACTAGAACCAAAAAGAAACCTTTCTCCCTCACTGATTCCCTAGTAGTTGAAGGTAAAAATTTTTAAGTAAATAGAAAAAACTGGCCAGAGAAACATTTTTAAGCAAATAGAAAAAACTGGCCAGAGAAACATTTTTAAGCAAATAGAAAAAACTGGCCAGAGAAACATTTTTTTGTAGCCATACAAATTTAAAAATGTGAGGGAGGGAGGGGGGGGGACACTTGTTCAAGGGGGTACTTATTTGACAAGTTGGCCTAACAGGTTAGCACTTATTCAGGGGAGAGTACTTATTTGAGTGCAGGTGGCAATTTGAGGAAATAATTATGGTATGCCAAAAACATTGCAAATAAGCAAACAAATGCCAGGAGAGGTTGTTTCCAATGCTACTCAACAAATTCTACTAACAGATTTCTTGCATTCATTGCCAAATGGAATTCTACAATCAGCCTGAAACTTAAAAAAATTAATACTTCTCAATAATGATGATGTGTCTAGTTTATGACAAACCTGCCATCATGGCGCTGTAGAGATAAGCAGGAAAATAGTGATGGAAGTACAACACACGTCCCATGGCATAAAAGGGAAAATAATGCAAGGCCCAACCAAGGAACAACCAACCAGAGGCTGACTCCATTCTTTTTCTGCGAGCTGAAAACAGATAGAGAGATACTTTATACATCTTGATCCCCACAGTGACCTAGCTTGTGAATGAAATTACAAACTACTTAGCCCTGCAATCTAAATCTCTCATGGAGAGATTGATAAGCTGCCACGACAAAGTCGAGCTTGACACTAATGGTAGCCCACTAGTCTTGACACTAATGGTAGCCTCACTAGTCCAGTGAAAATTCACTTCTAGTAAACAAACTAAAATTGTGGTAACATCTAGGATGTCACTAGCCACTTAGCTAGTGTCAAGCCCTGCTAAACATACAAGAAGACAGGAGATGGTGTATAAGGAGAGGTGTAAAATTCTTAAATGGAACTCTTTAGTACTAAGGAGAGATTTCCTTTCCTTAGTGGAATGCTATAAAACTGTATTCAATCTAAATGGATTAAATTTCAGTGACTATTTTGAACTTTGTAAAAACACTAAGTCGAGATCTGACCATCCACATAAACTACAACTCAAACTCGCAAAACTGAACTGCTACAAAAATTCTTTCTTTGTCAGAATTATCAAACCCTGGAATAATCTTCCTATTAATGTATTCAATTTTTGTGACACCCCTAACGTTAGTGAGTTTAAATCAAAACTGAAGAAACATATGAATATTTATTGAATCGCCATTTTATATTTATGATATTTAGCTGCTTCTTATTTGACTTTTTTATATTTTTATTAACTAGTTCTGTAAGATTTTATACATAAATAGGAGACCCTTGATATAGGGTTAACCTCTGGGTTTCCTTTTTCTTAATAAGTAGTATGTATTTGTATGTTGTTCTGAAATAAAGTATTGTACAGTTAATACAAAGCTTAATTCTCACTCAGGGAGAGATTAACAAGCCACCACTGACAACAAATTCAAATTAAACAGTGAAAACACATTGCTACATTGTAGGTGAAAACACACAGCTAAAGAGAAGCAAGGAGGAAGCTTGTACCTAGTTCTACAGGTGGATCGGTTAAGCCTCTTTGTGTTCTTACGGCATGGAAACAATACAGCAGGCCAAACAGGCACATAATTCCCAGTATGTACCACCAAATAACCTGAAGAGATGATGGAGAAAAAGAATAACAAGAGTGAATCATTTATTTCCTTACTTCAATTATTTACTTACTTCAATTTGTTATATAAAAATGCAAGTTACATGTTTTTAAGTGTCTTCTTTGAAAGTAAAACAAAAACTCACTGGATTGCCAAGAAGGTAGACACGATAATCTCCGCCAGAAAACACCTGACCCTGGAAAATGAAATATTGTAAAGTGAGCAATATCTAACCAAAAGATGTGTGGCCATCTATGTGGCTATCTATGTGCCTGCAGGCGTTAGCAGTCTTCGTTGTATGAATTTTTACGAATTTTTATAAATTAGTATTCTAAGCTTAAATTTGTAGGTTTTACGAAAGAAGCGTAAGAGTCACTCGAGGCGATAGCCAAGAGCAACTCTAGCTTCTTGAGTGCTTAGCAAACCTCCCAAGTGCATCCATAACTCAATAGTGTATGCTGTGGTGTTTACCATTTGTTTTATAACGTAACATTGATACATTGTAGCTAAAGAGTTCCGTTTTATTTAACAAATCTTACACAACCAGAAAAAACAAGCGTGCGCGGAAAAATAGTCTTTGCATTTGCTCACGTAAGCAGCGTACACCCATGGGCAAATGGGGGATGCTAAATTGACCAATCAGAGCACGTGCTTTACTTTGGTTATGTTATAACATTAATTGGGAAAGAGGTGTTAAAAATACAGACTAAGCCAGAGTTCCATGACGCATGTCAATATCAACTGATATTTTTTTTATTCTCACCATAAACTTCATTGAAAAGGACGGATTACTTGTAATTTAGTGAGACACCTTCTGCATACTGCTAACATCAGCAAAGTCAAAAGCATTGTGTGATTAAATGGAATAAGTATGGTGGTAAATTTCTAAGCTCTTGGTGAAATAAAAAATTGAACATCTTTTTTAATCTATCTATCTAACCCGGTAGTTAATTGGCCACTGCCAGGGTTGTGATGTCACTTCTCCTTCCTTTGGTTTGAATCCCGAGTTGGTCTGTAGACAAAAACAATGTCAATCATAAAGGCAGGATGAAATAATGGTGAAAAAGAATTTTGTGGCTTGTATGACACAGGGTTTCTTGGCTAAGAGACTCATCAGATACTTTTCATGAATTTCAAGCAATTTTGTTCAGCATCACACTCAAAGTCCGGTTCCCAAAGTCAAGATGTTAACATCTTGCAAAGTACTGCTCTGCTAGTTCTTCTAACTTTATTTTTGTTTTCCATACAATCATCCACTTCCTATTTAATCTCCTAGCCTGAAAGAATTACTGTGGCAGTTTGGTGTATTTTCTGGAAATCACAATAACTGCTGCACTGATAACATACCTGAGCCATGACGATGTGTGATTCATAGACACTACCAAGAAATGAGGGCTTGTAAAAGTCAGATGCAGACTTTGGAACTAAATGCAAAGAAAACAGGACATCATTTTACAATAGTTTGTTTTATTACACAACTCGGGCAGTCAGAGGGCCAATAACTAAAATCAACCAATCAAAATGCTCTATTGCCGGTCAATATTCTCTCAGTATTGGACCAGGCACTGTCCCCAATGGTCCCAAATGATACCGCACTTGTGTCCATTTGAACTTCAGTCTTATAATAAATCTCTTATTAACCAACCTTGCTCAGGACCGTACTGGAAGAATATCGGCCCTCGGTCTTTTTTGTATGGACTGAGCTGTGCTCGGTCCGTACTGTCAAGACCTCAGGCCGATATTCTCCCACTACGGCCCTCGCGCTTGGTTGATAAGATATATATATTAGATAGGCTTAGGTATAAAATATTTACCTGACAGTACAAGGGTAATTGACAAAAGAAATAATAAAAAAAAAAAGAATAGACAAATATAATGCTGTTCATCATGAATGATTCAAATCAAAACAGGCATTTTGATCATTTGTATCACCATATTAGATGACATTTTAGATATGAGTAGCCCAAAAAATATGCAAGCGCCTGGTACTATTTTCACCTCTTTCGTTTTCATGACCCTCAACATTCCAAAGATTATGTGAATGATGTACTATGGGATTACAAGTGACCTCCAGCTGCTCCCATCCCCTGGAAAAAAAAATGGAAACTGTTGCTGAACAAATTTGAACATCTTTTACACACTAACATTTACAAAATTGCTAAACTGGAATAAAACTCTTAAGTTAGGACTAGCTATCCTCAGTAACAGATAAAATACAAAGTAGACTTATGATGACTACCCAAGGGTTATTATGCATTGCTTGATTGCTTTTTCTTTTTTTGTTTTTTGTTTTGCATTTCTTGAATCAATTTAAGTCCTGAAAGGTGAAAGACATTTATGCTATTGACATTTTCTTGACATCCACACATACAAGCTTCTGCAACCAGACACCTTAACCTTTAAACTCCCATGAGGGACCAAGAAAGACCTTATCCTCACAGATATTTTATTAACACAATATCAAGCAGACAACTCATGAGGATAAATTAGAGAAAAATATCAATAGGGGATTATTAGTTGATCCAATAACAAATTCGCCAAAGTAGCATTATAAGAATTGCATAGCAGATAGCAAAGAGAATTTCTAATAAGATTGTTGGAGTGAAAGAGTTGAATGATGACTTAGTGATAGACAGACACTTATAAAATTAATAAATAGAGATGCATGAATTTCTATTTTGAAGAATCCCTTCATCAAGCTGGAAGGAAGTACTGGTATTCACCACTCACCATTTTGGTAGGACCTGTGTACTTCCATGAAGAGCACAGCCCAAGTTAACATGAACAAGTCTGAAAACTGTCTTTACAGTCTTAATTCGTCCATCTTCACCTTCACCACTCACAACTTCCACACGCCAAAAATCATTAGCATCTCCTTTCCCATTCTAGAAGAATTTAGTAAATTGAATTATTACACAACTTGGGAAGTCAGAGAGCCAATAACTAAAATCAACCAATCAAAATGCTCTATTGCCGGCCAATATTCTCTCAGTATTGGACCAGGCACTGTCCCGAATGGTCCCGAATGATACCGCACTTGTGTCCCTTTGAACTTCAGTTGTGTAATAAATCTCTTTTTAACCAAGCTTGCTCGGGACCGCACTGGAAGAATATCGGCCCTCGGTCCGTACTGTCAAGACCTCGGGCCGATATTCTCCCAGTACAGCCCTCGCGCTTGGTTAATAAGATATAATTATGTACAATTGTAAGATGAGTTATCGATTGAAAGGAAGGATTTATATTCTGTATTTCTGCCTCCCGGTTAGCTCAATTGGTAGAGCGCCGGACTGTTGTGTGGGAGGTCGTGAGTTCAATTCCAGCCAGACCAACACTCGGGGTCTTTAATTAACTGAGAAGAAAGTGCTGCCTTTGTAATAATATCTGCAAATGGTTAGACTCTCTAGTTTTCTCAGATAGAGACAAATAAATGGAGGTCCCGTCTCCTGCAGGGTCGGGGCAGGAGACGTTAATTTCCCACACACGAGATTACTGTGTGATGGATGTCCTCCCCGGGGTGGGATGGGTGGGTAAAAAAAGGGGTTAGGTGTCAATTGGAACGAAAGTTCTGTTCCTTTCTCCTGCCATTCGTGTGGCGAATGAATTAAACTTAAACTTAAACTAAACTTTGAATAAATGCCTGGGGACTTGTTTCAAATTTCAACTAAGAGGAGGGGCACTTATTGGAAGGATTGGCATTTAATCGAGCCAGGCCACTTACTAAGAAATTATCAACCTGTGCTGATTCAAGTAGCATTAAAAACAGGTTTTTCTTGTGTCCCCTCGTTTAAAGGTAGCAAAGGAGGGGGGGTGGGCACTTATTCGGAAAAGGGCACTTATTAGAGCATGCAGGGCTCGACACTAACAGTGGCCCACTAGCCACAGACTAGTAGAAATTCAGTTTTGACTAGTGGTTTTCAATTTCCATCGGCCAGTTTGGCTAGTAAACAGACTGAAATTGTAGTAACATCTAAAAGCAACTAAGATGTCACGATAGACACTTGGCTAGTAAGTTGAAAAGTTAGTGTCGAGCCCTGGCATGGGCACTCATTCAAAGAAATACAGTATGGTGACAGAAATAATGTTGGCGCTTGCTTTATAAATGCACTGAGACCCTATGCAGGTCAATTCAAATACTACTTCAGAGACTGAAACCCCTTTTATACAACAGCACACCACAACTTTGACAGAATCCATCCACGTTAACCGAACAATTAAATTTTATTAACCATTTAACACCCAGAAGTTATTAACAAGTAACTTTTCCCTAAAATATCCATAAATTATCCAGCAAGATGACAGTAAGAAGTTGTTATCTTGATCTAACACAGAACTCTTGTAACTAATTTGCTAAGAAATGTGTAGCAGCTAGAGGAGAGAATTAACAATCAGATCTTGGGAGTCAAAGGGTCCATCGGTTGATTCTGTCTAATGATTATTGATCCACACAAATTCTGTTATAAGTTATTGTATAACTGAGATACGATGAATATATGAAGTTCATAATATTCATCATATCTCATTTATCACTTTCACGGGTTTATTACGAATCAACTTAACGGCCTTCTCCTAGTTGGCTTGTTAGCTCAATTGGTAGAGCGCTGCACAAGTATCGCAGAGGTCAGTGGTTCGAGTACCGTACAGGCCTGATTTTTTTCAGGTCTGATTTTCGCTATTCCATAAATAGCGCTATCTACTGCGAGGATTGTGCATCATACTTATTGTATAACTGTTAATACTCACATCTCCATAACCTGTTACTTGATTATGATGGGTGGTGAGTGGTGCTTTTTCTTGATGACTGTGAAGATTCCTCTTGGTTCTAAAATAAAGTTAGCACATGATCATTTTCACATGTTACATGAACATGTACATGTATTTGGAGAGCATCTGTTCAGTAATAGATTACAGACCACATCAAAATGTGGTGAGGACAAAAAAAAAAAAAAACAGCAAGTCAGGTGCACCCAAGTGTGTCACTCCTCATCTGTGATCTAGCACTGGAGAGATTCACTACAACATGGAATCAGCTATTCGTTAACTCCATTAACTCTTTAACTCTCTGAAGTTATTAACAAGTAACCTCTCCCTATTTTATCTGTATAATATTCAGCAAACAGGTTATGAGATAACAACTTATCAGATAAAAGTTGTTATCTCGATTTAATAACAAATTCCCACAACTTATTTTCAAGAAAACGTGTAGCCGCTACAGAGAGAATTAACAATCAGATCTTATAGCCGCTGAACCCCTTTGGGTGGCTAGCATCTAATTTCTCACCAAGGTATCATTGCTGAATCAAACATAAGGCCCACGAGATTCAAGGAAATGATCACAACTGAGAAAAGCTCTTGATTTTTAACTAGATTCTCCTTGTTGGTGCCATAAGAAATGAGTGAAGAACAATATGGAGAATGTACCTGTCGAAGTTAAGAGTCTACGGGACTAAAATGAATAACAACATTGCTGAACCTACCCAACATGTTCCAGCCTAATCCAGTCTCCATTCTTAAGGAATTCTACAGGTTGTTGGTCATCTGTAAGGTGAGGTAAATAGAAATTACAGTAAGTGATGAGCATGTAATTTCTCCTAACAGCATCACCCCTGAATCAAATAATAAGGTCAGGAGAATAAAGGAAATGATCAGGAGGTCAAGAAGCTCTGACTTGGTTATTAGGCAAATTCTCCTTGTATGTATCAAAGGAAACATAATACAATGAATATATGAAGTTCATATATTTTGAACTGCGGTTGTAGATACGTATGATGCACAATCCTCGCAATAGAGAGCACTATTTATGCAATAGCAAAAATCAGACCTGAAAAAAAATCAGGCCTGTACAGGATTAAAACCACTGACCTCTGCAATACTAGTGCAGCACTCTACCAATTGAGCTAACAAGCCAACTGGGAGCAGGCCGTTAAGTTGATTCGTAATAAACCCGTGATGATAAATCAGATACAATGAATATATGAAGTTCATATATTTTGAACTGCGGTTGTGGATACGAATGATGTTAGCTCAATTGGTAGAGCGCTGCACTAGTATCACAGAGGTCAGTGGTTCTAATCCCATACAGGCCTGATTTTTTTCAGGTCTGATTTTCGCTTTTGCATAAATAGTGTTCTCTACTACGAGGATCGTGCATCATACGTAGGAAACATAATATTATGGAGAACATTATGAAGAATTTGCAGTTAGTTGTAAAGGGATAATAGATGAGTCTGCTATATACTTACTGTAATCTTCGTAAGCCTTTTTCACCAACCATTTGTTGTTGTCATCTTTGTGAGAGTAGCAAGTAATCTGTGAAAGGAACATTTAATTATGATGAATGAAATATTACTAGTAGCTGGTAACTATAGTCACTGGTACAGTGGTAACTGTGATATCTCATTTTTTGTCAGACATTTTATACACGAGTCAAAAAGGGAAAGACCCACCAATGTGGGATGTCCAAGCCAGCAACCATAAAGAAATTCCCATTTCCATTCCAATTCCATTCCCATCTGTCCAAGCCTGATATAGACAATCTCAATACAGTTCCCAAAATTGATACAATGCCTCTCACACAAACATCAGCAGTGTATTTATAGAGACATCAACTAAGACCTGCCTAAACAAATTCTCAAGAAGGCATCAACTGCAATTTGGTCCAGGAAAGACCTCATGCAGATGCTGTCACTGGTAGGGACCTTTCTGCAAAATGGCCCTCAAGAAGACACAAACAGGGACCCCTTAAAACTAGAAAGAGTGTGCAGACAGAGTTACCAGTTGGTTCCCTTTACAAAGGGACCATCAAGCAAAAGAACCAAGAAACAGGGAGCTGTAAAGACACATAAAGGCAATATGTAGCTTCTAGATGTGTGAAAAGTTAATCACGCAAAATTTCTTTGTTTTCTGTCTCAAACGTCTTCAAACTCTACCCGTAAAACTCAAACCTCTACTAAAACATCCCTACACTCTACTCACACCTGGATTCTCTGAAACTTCAAGTGTCGAGACCCTAGTTTAGAGGCACAGTCAACTTTTTTTTTGAGCAGTATTGTAGTGTATGTAACAACAGGATCTTGTCAAAATGGGCCGCAACCCAACACAGATTAAAGAGGAATTTATCACAAAACACACTGACCTGTTGCTGCTCAGGAGGATGTTCTTTGGGGTAAAGATGATGATGTGAATGTAAAAGAGCTCCTCCTGCCCGAGTATTTTTGATTGTAATGATTGAACCAAAAGCAAGGTCTGCAGAAAAACAGGAGTTAATTCAAAATATCAGTCAGAAATATTACAATAAAACACCAATGACCAGATAGAATACTGAGTAACTTTTTAGTTATTTTCAAACTAATAATATACATGAAAAAATTACTCAGTTCCATTTGCAAGAAAAACTTCCTCTGTATCTAAACCATTATTGAGCAAAACTTTGGAATTTTTGAATAATCAATTCAGCCAGTCTGTATATATTCTGTTATGTCATTCACATACCTGCAGGTACCACATTCTTGTAAAGAACATTTCCTTTTAGAGTTGACTGGAATGCAGAACTAAAGAACCCATCACCTGGCCCACTATATCAAGGTAAACAATGAGTAAGAATTTTAAAACACATATTACACATTTTGATTAAGTTCTTAAAAACTTTTCTCTCACTACAAAACTACAAGTTAAATTGACTTTCTTGGCTGGAAGCTCATACAGCGGGCTCATCAAGGAACACTTTATTAGGGTTAGTTCAAATAAGCAGTAGAAACTACAAGGGAAAAAGCCCTCTTTTGACTCGCTTTACTGCTAGGAACACTTTATTAGGGTTAGTTCAAATAAGCAGTAGAAACTACAAGTGAAAAAGCCCTCTTTTGACTCGCTTTACTGCTAGGAACACTTTATTAGGGTTAGTTCAAATAAGCAGTAGAAACTACAAGTGAAAAAGCCCTCTTTTGACTCGCTTTACTGCTAGGAACACTTTATTAGGGTTAGTTCAAATAAGCAGTATAAACTACAAGTAAAAAAGCCCTCTTTTGACTCACTTTACTGCTAGTGATTGGTGCGCTATCAGTGCTGGAATTCCACTGGGAAAAGAATTAGAGTATGTGCTATTGAAAGCAGAAAGCTCCATTGCATCAGCAACAGTTCTCCTTAATTTTGCTGGTGCATACTTTTCTCCTTATAAAAAAAACCCCTTTGGCTTTGTTCACAGGATAGATTACCAGGCATGTTATGCAAGGGAATTAAGAAGTAAATAATAAAGGTACATTTCACTAAATAAGTTTTCCATGTTACAATCTAATCCATGATCAAACTTAATGACTGCCACACTATCTTAATGAATAAATCAAAATTAAATACCTTTAATTAGCAAAGAAATAACATAACAACAACTGTACAACAAAATGACCTTTAGACATGGTTTCTCCAATTTTTTTTTTCCAGTCCTTATATTAAAATAGATTGAACAGAGATGATATCTCATTGACAAGGTAGCTAGTTCACCTTCTTATACTTTAGACTTACTTGACATGATAACCCAATATCTGCAGCGGATATATATTGGGTTATCATGTCCTGCTCAAAGTCTGACTAGTTTTCAAGCCCCTCGTCCATGTAGTTTTCTCAACCTTTACTAACTCAGAGAGATGTCTTCCTTTGGAGATTGTTTAAGAATTCAATTCAGTTTTTGCATGATATCATTAATTATTGAACTTTGTGTCTGAGTTATCTGCCTCATCCTTTGGTGGCTTCAGCAGAGAACTCAGACCTCGGCATTGGTAATTTATGATATGTGACCTCTCACGGGAAAACGTTCCGAACGGTTAGCCGTTTTTAAACAGATAGCCGTTCTCCAGCCGTTCACCAGCCGTTCAAATGGATTGGCATGCTGTTTGAACGCCACAAGCTATCCGTTCTTGAATATTCGTCATCCGTTTGAACCGTTTGAGCCATCCGTTATCACACCCAACCTCTTCCACTAACTGTTTATCATCAAGGAAATGTGACTGTGAAAACTAAGAGTAGGGTAAATTAATTATGGTGCGACAAGTTCTTACGTATTTGGCAGCATTTTGAAATGAACAGCAAACCAAAAGAGGTAGACAAAGATGGGGACCATAATCAAACAAAGCACACGAGCCATAAAGTGTTTACCAATCTCAAACTGGAACAAAATAAAAACACATCACGGTAAATATAAGGATCACATCTTAATATGCTATGTGTATTTACATAATTATTAATACAACCCTTTCAACATCACAGATTTTAGCATTGTATAGGACACCAGTTTTGGCTGGTGGTTTCAATTTCCACCAGCCAGTTTGTACAGTGGCCCACAAGGCTCAACGCAAGCAAAAAATATACTGCAGCAAATAAAAAATATACTGCAGCAAATAAAAAATCAGAACGCAAAGAAAAAAAGTACCGCAGCAAATAAAAAAATGCAACGCAAACAAAAAATACTGCAGCAAATAAAATATGCAACCCAAACAGAAAAAAAAGAAAACGCAAACAAAAAAAATTAGAACGCAACGCCAAGGAAGACTGGGTAATAGTTCTTAGTTTCCCGCCAAAACAGCATGAAGTGGAACTCGCTTTTGGCTATAGACGAAAGCGATCTGCGTAGGATTATAGAAGATTACTTTCATCAAGGGTATGAAAATAGAGTTATTATCGATTTTTTAAAGGAGCAGCATGGTACTGTCATAAGTTCGCTGCAAAACATGGTTTCGGAAAGGTGAACAAGAAAGGATGGAACGAGCGTTGGCGGGAAACTAAGAACTATTACCCAGTCTTCCTTGGTGTTGCATTCCAATTTTTTTTGTTTGCATTTTCTTTTTTTTTTTTTGTTTGCGTTGCATATTTTATTTGCTGCAGTATATTTTTTATTTGCTGCAGTATATTTTTTGATTGCGTTGAGCCTTCTGGGCCACCGTAAGTTTGCCTAGTAAACAGACTGAAATTGTCATAACATCTAAAAACATCTAAGATGTCACTAGCCACTTGGCTAGTAAGTTGAAAAGTTAGTGTCAAGCCCTGACAACACTTTCAACATCACAAATCTTAGCATCATGCAGGACACCTGCCACACAAAAACCGTCTATGTGGCCCAGCTAACCAGCAATGTCTTTACATAGATCTGAGGTTCAACTCCTCAGAGGGGCCTCAACTCTTTTCTTTATTCTGTGCTCTTGACATAAATAACCCTTTTCTTAAAATATTTTTTTTCTAATTTCCTTATTTGTTACACCCACTTAGCACCATTAGCAAATTTGAATTATGATGATCAAGGAACATCTTAAGTTTATTATTATTAATATCAAATCAAATCAAATGGTGACAAATTTTCAAAATTAATCAATATTACAATTATTGTACAGTAATATAAACAGGGAAATATTCTCACCAGAGACAAAGACAAATCCCCTAGAAGATCCCACAGGTTTAAAACTGTTGTAATGCCAGCCCACAGTATCACAAACAAACCAACCCACTTGCAGCTGAAAGGAGGAGAACACATACAAATTTTCTTTAAAAATTCAACTGATTTAAATGAATATAAAAAACCAAAAAATCCCCAAAATGTTGTTTACTTATTGATAAACTTACACATTTATACATAGTGGTACTGAGAGGAATTAAAATCATGTTATGAGGCAAAAGTCCACCACTTCAGATGACAGGACTAAATATACATTTCCACTCTTTTAATAATTTTAATCAAGAAAGACAGACCACTTTCTAAACTATGACCAATCCCTCCATTTTGGCAAATTCCATTGCACAAGAAAATAAAATGTCAGTGGACAGAAAATGATGTTTGCACAGCACAGGGAGCTCTAACATGACTTTGATGCATGCCAACATTAATTTTTTTTTCACTGATTTTTTTTTTACTTGCACAATGAACTTTGCTGAAAAGGAGGGACTGCCCTTGGTCTAACCACTATCTCGTAAAAACTGTTAATATAATAACATTAAGTTAAACTTTACATGCAAAGAATAAAGTCCTAAGCAAGAAAATTTACACAAAGATGGCATCCACAAACAATTAACTTTACTTATATTGCCTGTCAGTGTTAATAAATTTACATGCACTATGCTACAAAGTTCTACTGGATGGCATAAACCACAAGTTACCGGTACTTGTTGACTGACATTTAAAAGAAATGCAAAGACTAAACATAACCAAACACTACTTTAGGCAGTTTCACAGTGACTCACCTAAATGCACAAGACAAAGAAACACCAGACGCTGTCATCCAAGCCCACCACTCAAAGGTGTAAGGACTGGTAAAGAAAAAGAAACAAATGTTAGGTTATTATAATCACTGATAACGTAATGTAGCATACAGACACTAAGACACCCAATATCTATAAAGTAGTCAACAGTGTGCTCCTTTTCAGGCAGTAACCAGTGAAATTTACCACCTGTAGCAGTACCTCTAACTTATCATTGCCTAAAATCACATGGAATTCTTGAAAATTCAACAGTTACAAGAATTGCTCTGACTAGCAGTCTGAAAATTTATTTTAACCTGTTGTGCTTAAAACAATGGAGAACACTGTTGAAAGATTTCAATTTAGGTTGTAAAATGCCATAGTCTTGTATAACATACTCAAACAGATCCCCCGCTAAACCCCCCCCCTCCCCACGACCAATGTCAGGGCTAGACTCTAACTCTTCAACTTTCTAGCCAAGTGGCTAGTGACAACTAATATTAGATGTTATGACAATTTCAGGTTGTTTATTAGCTAAACTGGTTAGTGGAGATTGAAAACCACTAGCCAAAACTGAATTTCTACTAGTCAAGGGAGGCAGCGTGGCCAAGTGGTCAGCATGTCGGACTCACAATCTGTTGCTCCCAGGTTCGAGTCCCACCCTGACCACTACCTGGATTTGTTTCACGGTGACTCCGAGTTCAAATCCTCGGCCATGCTTGTAAATAGCTGACTGGTTTGCCTCCGACCAGTTGGGATTCTTAACAATGTTATGTTCAATTTGAATTATTTGTTTATAGCTCACAATGTAAACTACTGGGTTACCAGTAATTGTGTTAGCTATTAAAGTTAATTTTTTTTTTCCTGTAGCTAGTTGGCTACCGTTATTGTTGAGCCCTAAATGTTGCATTTTTTTCTGTAATTATACAGCAATGAGCGGATACTAGAGTGAAGTCAGGTACTTACACATTTCTGCAGTTTTGAAACTTGGTAAAGGAATAAGTTGACAACATGATACAGAACATTAAAACTGGATCTAGTAGAATGTACTGTGATATTGTAAGGCATCCATGATCTGAAATGAAAAAATTATAACATAAGGAAATAACAGTAATTTTTCAAATTAAAGAAGAAGTCAGTGAGAAGTAAAGACAAAAGAGGAAGGAGGCAATTGAAAATAGATAACGTTTTTTAATTACGCCTGAGCAAACTGTCTACCCTGTTCTTTAGTTTCATGAAACAGGAGAATGTAAGGGAGTGGGGGAATATTCTCAATAAAAACCCTGGATCGGTTACCATGACAGCATGGTACCAAACACCCTTAACCTTTAGCCCCTAAGCTAAGAGTGACTGGCATTTACATTTTTCCTTACTGTAGCATCCTTTCATTAGATGTACACGTCACTCATGAGAATAAAGGAAATAATCACCAATTAAAGCAACCCTTGATCACCGAAAAAATTCTCCTTCTCAAAGTCACTGGAAATGTAAATTCTTATGACGTTAGTTTGGAGAATTTGGCTCTGGATCAACTACCAAATCCCTTAATTAAATATTTTTCTTTATTCTCATCACTTGCTATATTAATAATAATGTGTTGATTGCAATACTTCATGTTTGGTTTTGCCCTACCCACACAGTACTGGGTTTAGTTTGTACATCATAAGATGGACCATGTGCTCTAGTTTGTTGTTGATGTTTCAATTTCGTTTTTGTCACGCTTCCATCTGGTTACAAAGTTTTCAAACCAGATCTTATGATTAATACCAAACTAAACCAGATCGACTAGTCAGATCATCATTTTGAATCAGATTGTATGAATAAGACAGAATAAATGAAGTTCAAGGATCAAGTCCAATATTTTTTCTACAGTCTACTTGTCTATTTGTATTGACATTGTAGGAAGAAATTCCGTCTTGGTCACGCATTGGATTTAAAGGATTACACATCAACTTCTAAGTGACTGTTTCAACTTACCAAAAACTATGAATGCAGTGCTTAGAAGGGAAGCGCCTGTTGACTTGGTAAGCTCCCAGACAGTAAGATAAGCAAGTGGTACACACAGGGAACCCAATATTGCACAAAACTAAAACACAATTAGAAATAATGACACTAGTCGGTGATGACATCAAAAAGTATTCTGAACTTAACATAGAGGTTACCATACTCGAAAAGTGTACCAAAGGTTTATAACAGATAAAACAAGAACACTGTCAATTGCATCTACCCTTGCATGTGGGGGATAAAAACATGTTTTGTTGGCCTATTAAACTGTTTTGACTGCAAAACTTCAAAGTTTTCCCAAGTTGGGTGAAGGTTTTGCATTGCCTGCCTACTTGAGAAGGTCTTCAAGGCTTCTTTATAATGATCAGAAATGGAGTTTCCAGTTAACAAACAGGGCAGAAGGTTTGATAGACCACATACGCAGAGGGGTAGATGCAATTGAAAGTGGACAGCTCCTAAAAGGCATCAGTACCATATTAGATTTCAGACAAGATGAAAACAGAATCCTGCCATGCTTAACTGAGTCAAAAGCAGAACTAGGAATATTTCTGTCACTTCTAACTCTTATGGACATTTAAACAATTACTGGTAATTAAAATTAAATGATTACAAACAGTTAAATTACTGTGCAACAAAAATATACAATTATGTCACATTATCCATCTTACCAATCTCATTCCTACATAGCTGTTTTCTCCATAATTATCTCCTGGTTTATCAAATGGGAATGAACCATTATAACCACTGAGATACCCAGCCAAAGCAATTGACATCTGTTTCAAGAAGAAAAAAATTAACAGACTTATTCAAGAGGATGAAAAAAAAAAACCACAACATTCCCCAATGAAAAATACAAGATATCATGTCAGAACGTTCTTAGATTGCTGTATTTGGCTTTTACTCTTTACACACTCATCTAACCATTCACTCATTTAACCATTTACACATTCATTCATTCATCCATCCATTCATTCACAATTTCATATCTCATAAATTACTTTTAAACCTTTCTCACCCAAGATCTCATTTGAAATTCTCTTTACTGTCTGCCATACCATTCTTACAATGTTAGCTCAGAGAATTTGGTATAGGATCAACTATTGGTCCCCTAATTCAATTAGATGTTATTCTTCATGGCTTGTTTGCTTGATTTTGTAATGCTATTCTGGGGAGAAAATTCTGTCTTAGTCACTCACAAGAGTTAAAGGGTGAATTAAATTGATTACTTCACTGCAATTCGAAAGGTTTGGTTTACAATTTGTTTGTTTTCGTGAATCATTTTACAGAAAGAAAAATGTCCAGAGCACTCTCAAAATTGCATTTTCAAAAAAGATTAACAACATAAGAAACCTTTAGGAAGATAACAAACAAAAGTGTGTCATTTAAAGTGTAAATTTATAAAAATGCTTACCTTTGCTAATGGAGGGTGAACATCAAAAAAGAATTCCCCTTTGAGATAGTAATTAGCATGTTTGCCAAAATGAGTTTCATCCCAACTACAATATCAAGACAATCATGAAATTAAAACTGTGACACATTTTCATTTTTTTTTTTTTTTTTTAAATTTTTACTTAGCTTCGCCAACCGGCAGGGACACCGCAACAGCTTGCACTGATTACTGCGGGCCCAATAAACCTACCCATCCCACCCCAGGGGAGGACATCCATCACACAGTAATCTCGTGTGTGGGAAATTGACGTCTCCTACCCCAACCCTGCAGGAGACGGGACCTCTATTTATTCGTACCTATCCGAGAAGACTAGAATATCTAACCATTTCTTGATGTTAGAGAAATGCAGCAAATTCTTCTTAATTATTTTAAGACCCTGAGTGTTTGTCCGGCTGTGATAAGATGATACTCTGTCTGCTCAGAATATCATCTTACCACAGGCACACCACCTGATGGGTTTGTTGACATGGGTGACAAACCATTGAACTGTATAGAAATCCATGACGCTTCTAAATAAAGCACTGAGGGAAGTATCCAAAACAAGTATCTGAAAGAAGTATATCAGCAAGTAGAAGAATGAGAAGGATTATCGATTCGAGAAGGATTATCGATTCAGAATTTTGTAGCCATAAAAAATAGAAGGATTATCAGTCAATCTGAAGGCACTCACAGATTTCAAACTCCTTTAGTTGCTCAGTTTGGTAAAAAACACATTCAGAGAGCTGCAGGTGTCACTTGGGTGACTGTTATCTTGGAAAATATTGCAGGAATTGAATTACTGGTGCAGCTGTGAACTAGCTACTACTAAAATACACCCTCCAAGGGCAATAACCCCCAGTAAGCCTGGTCCCAGAACAGCACAGCAAGATAGTTTTTGAAAGAAGTAAGCAAGACAACTGCAGTATAGTAACTGGCAGCAAGGGCTTGTGTTTGCCGAGACTTAATGGCTTTATGGGCAGCCATTAGACACATATGTACAAAATGATTTACTTTTCTTATTAATACTGGAAATATTTTTTTGTGACAAATCTTTCATTACAAGAAAACTATGGATATAGGTTTATTTTTCTTCATATGTAGCTACCTGTAAGTGTGCTTATCCTACGTGTTTACCCATGATATCATTCATAGTTAATGCTTTTTGGGTGTTTATGTTTTTGCAAATGAGTACATATAATATAGAAGAAAAAGAGGTTGACAAAAATACCCTAAGGTTTTCAAATTGTCTTGTTTAAACATCTACACTAGCAAGTTTTTTTTTGTATGTCATTTCTGGACAAGGCAACTTTTCTAGGAAAAACTACTCACTTCTTTTCAGCCTTAACAACCTCACCCACCGAAAAAGAAAGAAAAAAGACCTTGTACAAGGAAATAGGAAATACTAGGTCAAGAAAAATTTTGATAATGTATGTGGAGCATTATACTTCACCACTAAATTTTCTCAGATTCTTTTTGGTTTAAATTTATCATGTGACGCAATAGTGTTCATCCGTGGAGAGACACTATCAGCCCATGGTGCCCGTCCGTGGAAAATACCTCAATGGATAGTACCCACCCGTGAAATATTTTGAACGGTTTGACGCCACGAAGTTAGGCAGATCAGGAAATCAGTGACCTTTCAATTCTGACAGGTATTATTTAGCCAATGTATGGGTGCGAATTATTGACATTTGTGACAGGCTGTACAAATGAATAAATATTTGACTCATCTGCCATTTAGTGGGTTTTGACTGTTTTTCAACTGGCGCACAGAAGAAAATTTAGTGGTGATAAATAAAAGACAATAGAGTGTTTATGTCTCAGAACTATCCGTCTGATAGTTCCCCCATGGAAATTTGATGTTCTTAAAACTAGCATATTTGCCCTTGAAGCTTCACTTCCTGGGCAAATATTCGTTTTAAGAAAATCAAATGTCTGCGGAGCAACTATCAGCCAATCGTTCCTCCACAGAAACACTGTGTTGTTTAAATAGCTCAAGTAGCCACAAAAAGCAAGTCTTCAAAGAAAAATATATATGTGTAATCCATTTGTTTAAGCACCAGTGGAAATATACACACACCGGCGTAACCATCTTGCATACTTCTATGAACTACAATTAGTGAAAAGACAGGTGGCTAATTAATGAATGGAGGAAAGTAAATTTGAAATTCGAGCTGAGAGCAGAAAATTGAAAACGAACAAAAATTCAATAATTACGAAAGAGTCACTTAAGAACAGCTTATTAGAATCTGAGTTCATGCAATTCGTTTGATTCATTTGATTCAAAAGCTCTCTATGAAGGCCAATGCCTTGAATTAGTTCAGACTGCGAAACAACAAATGAAAAAAAGGCATACTTTTAAACAATTGGTGCAAAATTAGTCCAATCAGCTTGAAAGAGAGTGACTTTCGCTATAGTAGAACCCTCAAAGGAATCGACGAATATCTTGGCATTTTGTTATTTGTTTTAGAGTGGCGTCAACAGTTGCTACACAACCATCAATTAATTAAGGAGCGGCAAGCCAACAGCTTGAGTGGATCAATAATTTCTACAAGTCCCTAAATCCTTACAAGTTCAGTTTACTCCGTCACAAGGCAGTAAAACACCTCGCTCTGGGTGTCACTCAGAAAGAAACTATACAATACAAGCAACAAGTTAATATCTTCCTGGTGGTACAACCGGGAATAATGAACATAGTAATAAATCAATCGAAAAATTATCCAAGAACGGTTTGTAAAACGTTTTCATTTTAAACTATCTTACCATATATGATGTGGATCTTCTAATGCATAAAGTCGGGTTGCAAATGTAATGAGTAAGATTCCTCCAAAAACTAAAAGCCGGCCAAAAACTTTGCGGTTCACTTTAGGCAAATCATTCGATCTAGACGCGTGGAAATCCCTCGTACAATCGCGTGTAGTCTCCGACGGTGAAGACATTTCTGACTCATCGTCGCTATCTTTGTCTGGCTTTTTCTTTGCGCCTTTTCGAGGAGTCATCTTTTGCAAGGAAGAGATATAAATTCAAGTATTCATTCGCTAAATGGAGGTTTTCCTTTTGACCTAAGGTGTCGAAAGCGCGCTTCGATCCCACGATTCGAACCGACCTCCGACCCAGGTCCTGCTCGGACTGATCGAAAACCCTTACAAATTAAAGGATCCCTTCCAACCACAATACCCTGCGCGCCCAAACAGAAAAAATAATTAAGAAATAACTAGTCAAATAGAAAGAACAATAAATTTGGAACGCGATTGAGGAAATTCAAGACCTCAGTGAGGCAAATGTACTCGGATGAACGAGGATTTCTTTCCACTTCACGCCTTGTCCAATACCGGATGGCAGAGAAAATGGCGAATTTCACATATCGCGCGCACAATGTATTGTGGTTGGAAGGGATCCTTTAAAGTCTTTCTTTGGATAATTTTTAATTCATACCAGATTATTTACCGAAGCAAATTTCCACAACTTCTTTTATTCCACGTGGCAATATAATGAGGTAAACACTTTATGAAAATCTCTTCCACCTTTGCCTCTTGTAGACGACCCCTCTCGTGATCACAGCCGCCTATATTCCACCATCGCAAGAGATTTATAATCTCGTGACCATCGATGCATCCCGCTCATTGAACTCATGGGAACAAAGTTACGGATACTTATATCCGCTATAAAAATACCCACACTACCTTCTCAAGTTCCCATTGAGACAAAAGGTTTCAGGAAAAGCCTGCCTTCCCCTTTTCACAGCTTTGGCAACTTCAAAAGGATTGATAATAGTCCTCTCTCCGTATCAGATTTCTTTCATAACTTTCTGGAACATAGCCGGAGTGGCTGCTGCGGGAGAGGGAATTCAGGTTGGCTGGGGCAGCCTCCACTCCTTTCTCTCGCTGGAGCTCTTTTTAATGATTGAAATCGGGTTATACTGTCTTAAGCGTATGTTTCTATGTTTTGTTTGTTTTTCGGTTTGTTTGTTTATTCAGTTTTTTTTTTTTTTCGATGGATTGGTTTTTGTTCGTCTCTATCTAGTGCAACAGAATGTATGAAACCCGTAACACTTTCAGAAGCTCAAGAATTTTATGAGCTGGTTAGATAACTAAGTCAGTACTGTACGTAGACTCGTACTGCTTCGGATGTAACCTAAAATCATTGTCTTTTATCTACTTTAAACTAAAATTATTCCCTGGAAAAAAGTTGTTTAGAATTGGGAAGCTTTTGAGCCAGCATTTTAGCGGAACAACAACATGGCCTATTCGTAAGAAAAACACCACCAAAAATTAACACTTTTCAAGGTAATTACCGATATCACCTCATTTCCGAGCTATATCAGTCCTGGAAGGAAGAGACAGAACTGAAAAACGCCCAACCAAGATTAGAATAAAGTTTCAAACTAAGAAACAACACGGCACAGTATATGCGACAAATTATAAATAATCCAATTGAATCGCCACTAGGTTGGTTAGTCGACTGACAAAATAGATTCCAAACATTAATGTCGCAAATCATTCAGATTTAACAAAAAAATGAACCCATTTACTAACCAGATATGTGGTGGCAGTGTCACATTAAACAGCCTGGTTCCAAAGGCAAGCCCTACAATGGTTAGAAAAACAAGTAGCCGTCTGAGCCTCAAGGGCAAAGTATTTTCCACAAGCATCACAATAGAAAAAATTGGGGATAGCCACTTTGGAATAGCGATAGGTTTCTGCTGTTCGTTCATGCTTGGTTGTTTAGTTTTGAGAATTGCTTTCCTCAGTTCAGCTTTTGTCCTACTTCCCGCTTTAATAGGTTTTCTGCTGCGAATATCGCCATTTTTATATTTACTTCCCATGTCTTGAGCTTCTTTACTTTCTTTGTCTCTGTCATTTTCATCTGTACCGTTTTCGCGCAAATCATCGTCCTTTTTGACATTTCCATTTTGATATTCGTTTCCCTTCTCGGCGCTCATTTCTGTACCCATTTTTAACGACTAAGGATCTTTTTTCAACGCTCTATTTCGTACGATAATTTTTGAAGCCGAGCGCGTTTTACAGCGGTCTACAGTCCACGTCGCTTTATTTTTCTTGCATTTAAATTCAAAATTACACGTGAACATTTATTTCTTGGATTAATGAACCAAAACATTCCACCAGGATAGTTCTCTCTTTCCTTGGTAACAGAAATAAAAAGTCACTTTTCGTACATGCGTGCTTTACATCTTTTGATGTGTTTCCATAACGGCAGACGCAGCCCAGTTGAAAGCGGCAAAAAATCAGTAGCAGCTTTTTCTCTCTAATTTCTTTCGTTTCCGTCTTTTTTTTTTTCTTCGTTCTATCGAAGCAACGCACGCGTAAGCATGCACTAAGCAAAAACGCAAGTAAAACATAGGTAAAAATTATAAATTTGGGTTAGACATTTCAACCTGGTTTGAGACGATACAATACAATATCTTTATTAAGATCCCAGTGGGAATTTCCCGGCCTTATTATATCAGTGATTTACTATGAGATATAAATGTAAAAAAATTCAATCTATATTACATATGTAGAAAACTGTCATAGACAAGATGTCGACAGCTAAAGAAACCTCTAAAAAAATGGGTTCATCTCTCTGAGAAAACTTTCTAGAAAGTGATTCCTTAAGTTGTGTAGAAGTTACCATGTTTGAAGGACTCTACACTTCAAGGAGCAAGGAGTTCCACGTTGAGGGCCTTCTAAGTAATTTTTGTGCTCAGGCTGTGGGGCAATTTTGGAGGTTTGAGTTGTCGACAATCCTTTTTTACTAAAGTTGTGGGTTTCAGTTCTCTTTTGAAACATGCTAAATAGGAAGCTTGATACGTAATTGTTACTGCATTTGGACTTCTAAACGGCGCGTGTAATTCTGAATGTCTAAGATAATGGAAAGAGCTTTACCCTCTTGGCGTAGGTAGGTGTCGAATGGAAGAACGTTAAAAGCCACGCGCATACAATTAGAAAAGTACTAACTGCTATTACACGCGCTTTGCGAAAACAGTATCAAGCTTGATATGAATGGTTTATTTGAGTTAAAACCGTCTTGGTGTCCAAAACGGTTTTTTACATACTTAATTTTCCTTCGCCGTACTACTAACTGATACTGCCTCAAATATGTTCCAGTTACAAGGCAAGGAAATTGTTTTTCTTCGGGCCCTTTGCAGAGGAAGAACACATGCCCTTGCGACAATTTATTACCGACCCACGTCAAATAGATTCACCTAGAAAAGTTAGCAATTCTTTTCAGCGCAAGCGTCACCTGTTACGCTGCCATACTGTTTTCTTTAGGCTGTCGTTTTCGATCTTTCTATTTTTCTCAATTCTTTAATATCATTAATACGCTCGCTAACTGTTATTCAAGATCTTATTCTGTTCTACAAACTTTGGCCCATCAGTCTTTCGTTAAATTGAAAGGAACAAATTTTTCATTGGTTTTTAATGCAAAACTGAAAACCATTTTTTTTCATATCTTAGGATTTTGACTGTGAAATTTTTATACCTTACTTGACGTTTTGTGTGGTATCGAGTATTTTTACGAGACGAGTCAAAATACAAATAACTGGTAAAGTACTCAGCGATACGACACACCAAATCGTATAATAAGTTATTTATTATCCAACACGCCAAACTATTACTTCAGTACAGGCGAATTTCATGGATATTTATTTACCGAGTGACAGAAGTATGTGGTTCTCTGGTGTACAAATACCACCTGATATCTGTACTTGTCTAGGAGGTTATTTGTACTCTACAGAGTGTAGTTGGATATTAAAAGTCATTTATTTCATTACATGATCAGTTAGTCAATTTATAAATCATTGACTTCAGGGCCCCACAGAGAAGGGGTTTGGCAAGTTGGGTTCCCTCATTAACTGTCATTATTATTATCATTATTATTATCATCATTATTATTGTTGAATATCATTATTGTTATTATCATTATTGGTTATTATAAACAATTATTGGATGAGGTTTTTGTGATATCCAGAATAATGAAGGTCAAGGTAAGTGTTATTAGCCAAAGCCGAAGGCTGAGGCTGATAACACCATCTGAGACCTTGATTATTCCAGATATCACAAAAACCGAATCCAGTAACTGTTTTATTATACATTTTTTTTAAGAAAATAATGCCAAATGCATTATCGCAGCGCACTCAGTTTATTTTTGAACACTTAAAAATGTACAACTGTATGGTAAACAAATTTTCACCATCAGTTTTATAAAACAATCGAGTGCAGAAAAGTTAAATGTATTTCTAAAGAAAGTATCATTGAAGAAAACTGTTGATCTTTTAGTATTTTCGGAATCTGCATCTTCAAGTACAGTCCTCAATTTCTCGCTGGGTCAACGAAGTGAATCGAGAAGCCATTCTTACTTCGCTGTCCGTGAACTTGACAATGCTCCACCAGAAATCATGCATTGCACACGCAACCTACAGATTATTCACTAATCTGTGGGTACAGATTAGTGAATAATCTGTAGGTTGCACTGTTTCCCAGAATTAACTGTGGGCGTTTAGCCAATGAGAAGATAGATGGTGACTACAGTGTATGATAATCATTATTATTGTTATTATTACTATAATTATCCTTATTATTGTTATCATTATCATAATTGATTATCATTATTATTATTGTTATTACTATAATTATTATTATTATCATTAATATTATTATTATTAATATTATTGTTATTATTACTATAATTATCATTGTATTATTATTATGATTATCATTCCTTTGATTTTGGTCTCATGTCACTCAAATGAGACCATTCCAAGAGTAAAATGTCATTGCTAACAGCCTCACTTTCTTATCTCCAATGCAGTGAAAGGTAGGTCTGGTCATTTTGTTGGAAGCTCAACTTTTTCACCCAAAAACTGTCTGGTGTGTGTTACTATCGTGTCTTCCATGCTTCCCTAGTTGTTCTATCAGGATCATTATCCTCTTTATCTCCAACCAAGCACTCTAGTTCTTCATTGTTCAGTGGTTGTTCTATCAGGATCATTATCCTCTTTATCTCCAAGCAAGCACTCTAGTTCTTCATTGTTCAGTGGTTGTTCTATCAGGATCATTATCCTCTTTATCTCCAACTAAGCACTCTAGTTCTTCATTGTTCAGTGGTTGTTTAGGAAACACTGCTCTATACATAGGAAAGCAACAAGAGTTGTCATTTCTTTCACCTTCATCTGTCAAAAATGCCTCTGATTGTTCAGAACTGTCCATTAAGTGTTTCATATGAGTATCTTTGGCTTCTTGTAAAGTTTTTATCATTTCTTTGGATGAAAGAGGTTTTCTTTTCTTATCTTGCAGTCTCTGAAGCTCTCTCTCTGGAAAAACAAGGAGAAGCGATTTCAAAATCACACCTATCTCTTCTGCAATTAATCATTATCAACATTTTACATCCCAACTTCAGTATACATATTCTCAATACTGTTTTCTATACATTTCCTATGGTGCTGACAAGGAGAATTCATTTAACAATCAAGAGCTTCTTTAGAGAGAAATAAGAAGCCAGTCACTCTTGGGAGTTAAAGGGTCGAAGGAGAAGTTTGCCCCAACAGCCTTCAGTTCATTTTTCTCTTTGTTGTCACATCCACTACCAACCACAGGGGGCCACACAAGTGGCGTGTCTGGTCGTTTGTTCAAAAGATAAAGAAATGTATGGGAGAATATTGTATAAGAAGTCTCCTTCTTATACAGTGGAGTAACAGTCAACGCAAAATCTACCAAATCACTTAAGTTCGCCATTTAGAACCACAGAAACAACAATACACGGCAAGCGAGGTAGGTTTACATTTATTTTGAGCCTTAGCATAGACATTCCTCGATATAAGTTTACGATATTACGACTCTGTAATATTCTCCCATACATTTCTTTATATTTCGAACAAACGACCAGACACGCCCCTTGTGTGGGCCCCCTGTGTACCAATTACAATAATTTGTATATTCTAAATCTGTTCTTTAACCCCGTTTGTTTTTTGTTTGTTTGTTTGTTTGTCTGTTTGTTTATTTGTTTTCATCCGTTCAAATCAAGATTCAACCATCCTAGTTGCTTTGAAATAATTTCATTTATCTATCAATCTCAACACGGGAATATAGATGATGACATAATATGTGACCTAACGCCAAGAATTAAGATCACGATTGGCCGAGTGACGAAATTTCCTCCGGATGAAAACTATTGTATGGTTTCCAAGATTACACTGCACTTCTTTCGTCTCGAAATATAAGGCAGACGAACAATTTTTGATGATTTTTTAGGCTGTGAATCGGTCTTCGATCCGCAATAATTTAACAAGTAAAATTTCTGGGACTCACCTAACCGTGCAATATATTGTCCCCTTTGCGGACAGATTTGCTCACGATCCACACTTTTGAGACACTGCGGTTCATTTATGTCTGGTTCGTCGAACGTTACCCATCCAATCTGACCTGAATTGTTTTCCGTAAGATTTGTTTCAGTGTTTGATTGTCGCTCCTCGCTCACATCGTCCGCCATGTTGATTTTAGGTGGCTACCAAGTGTATTTTAGGCGGTCGCTAAGTCGTGTGTATGGGAAACTACGAGGTTCAAATTGGATCGAGTCAGCGTGAGAATGTGACAAGACTTGATACCTCCACGATTCGGTAAATTTTTACGAAATGAGACTTAAAGAGCTAGAAGGATACTTACAACAAGTTGATGTTTTTGAAAAGCCAAAAGTAGATCTTGAACAATATCCAACCACGCCGCACATAGCAGCTCACATGTTGTACACAATCGACTCCACGTTTGGGGACATTGAAGGAAAACTTGTCGGTGATTTGGGATGTGGATGCGGTGTTTTAAGTATCGGTTCGTGTATGTTAGGAAGTGCCATGACAATTGGATTTGATGTGGACTGCGATGCTTTAGAAGTCGCAGCTAGAAACTGCGCAGAGTTTGAGCTTCAGACGTGTGAACTTATACAGGTTGACGTGGAAAAGATTGCATTGTGTGACAGATGGAGAAAAGCGTTTGACACGATCATTATGAACCCTCCTTTTGGAACCAAGAACAACAGAGGTATCTACACAGAAATCAGATGGTAATTTTTCTTAGAATGACCAAGCACTGCACCATGCCCTGGTGAAGACCACGGTCAAGATTAGAATTAATCTCCTTCTTAAGAAGAGTCAGCGTTCAAGGTGAATTTGCTCAACAATCAACAGCTTCTTTTTGTTGGTGATCATTTCCTTTATTCTCACAATCTTAATGTGTGATTTAGGGGTGATATCGTAAGGAGAAATTAGTTGTTAGTCACTCCTAAGAGTAAAAGGGTAAAGCATGGTAGTGCCTCTCCGATTAGGACTATTGATGGGTACATATCACTCTAGATAGGCTTTGAACATTTTGGTGAACATGACAAGAAGACAGTTGAAGTTGGTCTCTAAATGTGTTGTGAAAGACAACAATTTGGAACTAGGTTCAGTGTTCATGGAGGGAGCCGTGAAATTTTACCCAAATTGTGATTATGGGTTGAGGCTACAGTATACTGTATAATAATAATAATATAGTAATAATATTAATCAGTTTAATTACTCTTTTTGTAGCTTACAGCTAAATAACAAGAGTGGTCAGAATACAAATCATATATGTACAATAACAAGAAACATTTTACTAAGAATATCTATATGTAATAAATTTGTCAAGACAGTTAGTAGAGGCCATAGCGGGATCCTCTCTTAGGGTGCCTGAGTGTAGATTGTATCCATGGGACACAGTTGCGCAACGTGGGAGCAAGTTAGCAAGGACACCAGTGTCCCAAACTCTCTGGATGAACTTAGTGTATACAGCAGAACACCAATCAGAGAGAGTGCATATGATTGGTGCCCTGTCCTTTTTTCTTATCAAAAATAGATTTTTTCTCCTCAGTTGTCTGAGTACAAAGCCCCTTGGACCCCTAACAGGACTAGCATTTAATTTCTCTCTACAATATCACCCTTGGATCACATAGTAAGGTCAGGAGAATAAAGAAGATGATCATCAACTCAAGAAGCAATGATTGTTAAGCAAATTCTCCTTCTCAGCACTTCAGGAAACGCATGGAGAACAGTATAGGGAATATGGAAAATGTAATTACTGATCCCCATGAAATGCTATTGTTCTCTCTCTGCATAAAATCAACAATTGTAGTCTTTAAGATGACAAAACAACTGTATGAGGAAAATGGAGGCGGTCCTTTTTGTTAGCAGGGAAATTATCAGGGGTAATATAATTAAACACGCTACATAAGCATCCTGCAATATCAAAAATATTGCTGTGTCCAGGGTGCAATATTAAAAATATTGCAGTGTGCAGGTTACAATTATTAAAAATATTGCTTCTTCCACTCCTCAAAGACTTTCAAAATCCACGCCCATTTCAGGCGGCTGGCATCTGAAACCCAACTTCTGTCAAATTTCTTGCATTCTGAAGCTGTAATTGGTGTTCTAAATCTTTGCTCTGTTTAAAAAACAGAAATGGAAATTCTGCCTTTAGAAGTAGATAAAGAATTAAAGCACTGACAGAAATGTCCAAACGTTACGCTACATTATCTTCGATTTCTGCAGAAATATCTGCCTTCATAGAGCTCTGTGTAATAAATAATCCTTCGTCTTGGAACGAATCCATCCCCTTTCCAAACCCAGGTTTGCAATGAGTAGAATGACTGAATTCTCTGGCTTATAAGGTATGCAAATTAGCAGTGTTAGATGCCTTGCACTAATTAATTCCATCATTAGAACTGTTTTGAACAACTATAACAATGAGCTACAATAACAACCCTCGGCACAATGAAAATCTAAGATGTATTCATCACAACAAAGAACAATAGCAATGAGAATCACAATTATCACACATAGGTGCGACTAAAATTGAAGATCCAACACAGACACAGAACAATAGGATTTCATGGGGATCAATAATTATAATGGATAATTTCTTCGGCACATGGCATTATGAGAAATATTGCAGCCAGCTGAGGCCATAGGCCTCAGCTGGCTGCAATATTTCTCATAATGCCATATGCCTCAGTAATTATCTATTAATTAAATCAATGTTGACTGGGTCACTTGCTTCTCCTGCTCTTCAGGAAATTTGACTGCCTCCAATTGACGATAATATTTAGCAATGGATATCATCAAAGAAGCACTCTGATTGGCTACTCAAACCAAATATTCTTTGCTATTCACTTCCAAGCAACTTGTGCAGGATTTATGCCCAAAAATATTGTAATCATTATGGGAATGAGTTAAAATCATCTTTTTGTGCTATATAACTTAACATTTTAGTGTAGACTGAAACAACTCTTCACCTCTGTGTTGGTGGCTAGTGGTGGAAATTTAGCTCACTGCTTTGTGGCTTGGTAAATATCCACCACTAGTCACCTCCACTTCAGTGAATAGTTGTTAACTGTTCTGATTGTTCACTGTTATTACTCTTGATTTGGTTTTACGTCGTGCAACTGAAATGCAGTCTGATAACTGCTTCTTGTTAACTCTCTCCTAGGTATTGACCTCATGTTTCTACAACAGGCCATCAGTATGTCCAACACAGCTGTGTATTCTCTTCATAAGACAGCCACAAGGGAACACATCAAGAAAAAGGCTTCAGAATGGGGAGTGCAATTGGAAGTGCTGGCTGAACTTCGGTTTGACTTAGCTGCTAGTTACAAGTTTCACCGCAAAAAGACAGTCGATATTGCAGTAGACTTCGTAAGAGTGGACTGTTCAAATAGTTGACAGCTGAGGTGAATGAAGAGTTAATGATAGATTTAGGACAAGTCTTCTAACCTGGTTCTTTAAAATATTTTTAATTGGCAGATAGATACTGAGTTAGGAGCGTTGTCTAGTTTTTATCTAAGATCAAGAAACAAAAAAAAATCAGTGAAAAAGAAACATGATGTGAGAGAGGAGTTAGTTAGACTGCCAGCTTAAGATTTGTATGATAGGATTGTTGATGAGGTTGAAGCCAGAATCCATTATCATACAATAGAAATATAGAAGATCTACTTCTGGAAGAAGATCTTATGGACGCTCATAACTTCCTCAAAAGACGAATCGCGTCAGGCTACGAAACAAATGGTAAGCTCAAACACTCACATGTTCTAGGGAAGAAAAGACAGTGAGTAACGTGACCAGAAAGAGCGCTGTATGCGTGATAAAATGCTCGTAGATTTGTATTCATTAGTTTGTATGAAGCATCAACAACGAAGGGTAGTTGATCTTCAATTGGGCGGCAAAAATAAAACGGGATTGTGCATCGATTACGTTGTGCTTTGTGATTGGCGAAGAAAACGCGTACAGCAACCAATTAGATGCATTACTGAAGCAATCGCGACTTGGTAACTCGCATTTTCTCAGGTTTTCTGCGCCGGATCGAAATGATGTTTGAAAACCATCGAATTTAATGTAAGTAGGTGATATGTAGGTTTGAGGTGGTAGTTATTAGTGATATGTATGATGCACGATCCTCGCAGTAGAGAGCGCTATTTATGCAATAGCGAAAATCAGACCTGGAAAAAAAATCAGGCCTGTACGGGATTCGAACCACTGACCTCTGCGATACTAGTGCAGCGTTCTAGCAATTGAGCTAACAAGCTAACTGGGAGCAGGCCATTAAGTTGATTCGTAATAAACCCGTGATGATAAATCAGGTACAATGAATATATGAAGTTCATATATATTTTGAACTGCGGTTGTAGATATGTATGATGCACGATCCTCGCAGTAGAGAGCGCTATTTATGCAATAGCGAAAATCAGACCTGGAAAAAAATCAGGCCTGTACGGGATTCGAACCACTGACCTCTGCGATACTAGTGCAGCGTTCTAGCAATTGAGCTAACAAGCTAACTGGGAGCAGGCCGTTAAGTTGATTCGTAATAAACCCGTGATGATAAATCAGGTACAATGAATATATGAAGTTCATATATATTTTGAACTGCGGTTGTAGATATGTATGATGCACGATCCTCGCAGTAGAGAGCGCTATTTATGCAATAGCGAAAATCAGACCTGGAAAAAAA